CAAAAATAGCTATTATTTATGCCATTTTTCCATACAGTCCACATGTAACCCGACGTTACATTTACCACATTGTTTTCTTACATTTGTTTTGCACACTGCGCATTTTCTTTGTTTTCCTTCAAGAGTTCTTTCTAAGTAATGCCCTATTGGGTCCGTCCTTACGCTTTCGGGAACACGTTTTGAAGCTTGCTTTTGTAGAGAAGGTCTACCACGATTTTTAGGATTAGAAGGAGACGCTCGCTGCAAATATGCTCGGGCGATATTTCGTCGAAATTCCAATAATGGCATGACTTTGTTAGCATGGCAATACAGTACGTAGGCGTTTACAACTGTTGTGTCGATTATGCTTGTAAAAATTTCACGAATTTTTATCCTGTATTTGTTAACATTCCAGTCCAGTTTGTCAACACCTCCCATAAACTTAGGAAAATACCACTTTTTTCCACGAATTTTTATCCTGTATTTGTTAACATTCCAGTCCAGTTTGTCAATACCTCCCATAAACTTATTATAGTTACTTATGCAATAGGGTTGATCTATTTTGATTTGTTTTTTCTCAGACTTGGACCATCTAGTTACATTGTTTAACGGTTGTATACCTTGATGATTTGACAAGACTTTCACACATTTGTTGTCTTTCCACACTACACAAAATATTTCATTATTCATATCAAATCTGTAAACTAAACTGCCGCGAAGTTCGTTCTTGAATTCATAGTCCGATTTTATAGGACACTTGTTTAGACGATTTGATCGAACTGTTCCTGTAGCTAATATGTTTTTCTCCTTTAACGTTTTCATTAGTTGAAAACTAGTAAAAAAGTTATCAAAGTAAAATACATGATTTGAAGGATTTTCGAGAAGCTCTGTGTTCTTCATTATAACAGATTCACCCAGACCTTTTAATTCGCAGTCTTCATTTCTTTTCCCTGTATACAACTCAGTGTGATAACAGTATCCCGTTTCTGCACAGCACATTGTCCATTGTTTGAATCCAAATCGAATTGGCTTTCCCCCAATGAACTGCTTGAAATAACGATGACCGTAGTACCGAACCATTTGCTCGTCAATACTTATATTTTTTGAAAAAACACCAAATTTGAGATATCGTTGATTCATTAACTTTATTAGTGGACTCATTTTGAAATCCGGATCTGCTGTCTTATTAGTGACGAGCTCGGAATTATCATTGAAATGAAGATTTCTTTTTATTTCCAAATATCTATTTCTAGGAAAACATTTTCTTACAACTTCAATGCATAAGTCTTCATCTTCACACCAATACATTTGCTCCTGTGCTAATGAATGGTATCCAGTAAGCAATAAAAATCCTATAAATTTTCTCAAACAGTCTGTTGAAAAAGTAAAACTATGTCTGTTATTTTGAGCGGCGTATGTGACACTTTGTCTGACTATATAAGTCATTATTTCTTCATCAAATACAGTTTCAAAAACCTCAACAGGTGCCTTTACTTCTAATGACTGCTTTATTAGTGATCGAACATTCTCAATGTCATTATTATTTCCAAGTATTTTTACAAAGTCGTGTGAAGGAATGTGGTTATTATTATTAAATAACGAGGCGTGAATAGGGTTGCGCTAAGTACCCACACGGTATTAGCAAGATCTTTATTGGAAGTTGACTTTCGGCGTTGGAGGTCCGTGCCTGACTGGCCTCCTGTCGCCTCGCTTTTTTTTTACTGACTTTTTGGCTATGTGTTAATCGTACCTGATTGGTTAACCCGTCGCATCGGTGTTAACCAATCAGGTAATTTCTTTCCAAGTCGCTGCGTGTCCCTTGCGCCCTTGGCGCGCTTTTTCGGGGACCGCAGTGCGACTTGGCGGGGAAGGTTTTTCCCGTGACGTCATTCGGCAACACAGCTGAGTTTCCTCCAGGTCAGGTCCTCGTG